TAAGATTCAGGTTCCATATTTCCTTTATACTTTGCCTCAGTTTTGCTTCCTGTTACCCGATTTCTCGCATCCATTTTTCCAGATATTTCGGTCAACCTCCCTGTGTGTGTGTTTGCGCACAGTAAGCCTTTGTATGGTATACTAAAGCTCTCGGGTTTGTTTTCAGCAGCCAAAACTGGCGCACGATAGTGCATGGTTAATGTCTGTACAAACTGAAAGTGAAAATTTCCTTCAGTTCTCAGTGTACTTCCCAAATCAGTTACGTTTTGGTCGACACCTCCCCCGGCTTGCTCTCTTTTCCCTCGTACAGATATTCACAGGCTATCGACGATGGTTTGGTCTAAAGACCTGGCCGAGTTGTTCCCTCTTGTCCGGCAAACAATCTCGCCATTAGGAAAATACTCAAATTGTTCTTGCAGACAACATTCCAGTGTGTGTGTGTGTNGATGAGCACCGTTGCCTTTATACACAGGGACCGAAAAATCCGAGTGCCACGCTTTATCTAAATCTCCGGAATCACGATAGTTTCTCTTCTTTATCAGAGTTCAATCTAAACGTATTCTTCATCCACTAGAAGTTTAATTTCTCACCTGCATTCAAATCATTTGTGTCTAGTATACTACCTACCGAATGCTTGAGTAGTTCCAGCTTAATATGGTTGCGGTTATTTTTTATTAATTTTTACTTCCTTTTATTGAATATACAAAAATATAATTTTAAGGAAGAGAATAACGGCCAATCAAAATGGGGCTACCACACAACACACATAATGGGGAAAGTCTGGCAGTGATGATGGTGTTGTGTTCCGTAAGCGACTATACCCGGTCACATGACGGTGATCAAGCTCACTTTGAATAGTCCTGTTTTAGTCATGTCTATTGGCTCTGTGCCAATTAACAGACAGTATCGATCGAATATTATTGACACTTGGTGACAATCTCATCCACGTCATCGTCCGTTGACTGTGCCATGTTCAGCAGTCTGCCACACCCATGTGAGTTCGGTGTGCTGTGCTAATAGTATNCCCCGCCACTCAAACAACGAGGATTCGTGAAACGGGGGTCATGGCAGAAAGTATACAAAAAACGAGGAGTCAACACAGGGGGATAGTTGGCAAAATTTCTAAAGATCTGAGTCAACTACCAAACACATACGTGGTTTTATGTTCTATACATATATACTATCCATATGTATTGCGTATATCTGACTAATTGCTTAAGACAAGTCGCAATGTTTGGGGGCTCCAACAGAACTGTTAGGCGTATGAGGGGAGGATCTACCAACCAGCCCTAATGGCATATATATATATATATATATATATATATATATATATATAT